GGGGCGAGGGTCGCAACAACGAGAGAAAGCCAAACAAAAATGATATTAACCCAATTCATTTAGAGACGAAGGCATTAACGCCCGCTCTGAGGTCATTCTTGATGGGCCTGGCAAGTAAGGCAAAAGTGTATATAGAGGTCGCATGCGTAAACTATACCAAGATAATCAGAGCGCTGGCGAGTGCGCTATAGCATGATATGAATCTATTCCGAATAGCAACACTTACACAGCCCCTAAGAGATAGAGATTCGTCTTGGTTTCCACAATAGCGTAGCTAAGTCGAACCTGTTGAGGATCACAGAGCATACGACCAAGGTCAGCGTAATCCATCAGTTGTGTGACATAAGTCGGAGCGATGCGCATTAAGTCGGAGGCAACCCTGTTGTCCAATACATGAGAAAGTGCAGATTAATTACCGCTCTACGAAGTAGCGATTGATATTCCGCAGAAGTTCGTTGCAACTTTCCGACTCAACTTGCGCTTTGCTAAACGCTAAATATGAGTGCAATAAACATACTTTTTCCCGCTGAATTGCTTCAGGCGGCTTTTCCTGGGAAGATAAGGTAGCCCCTTAGCGTACAGAATGCTGTCGTATATGGATCTCGAGAGCCTGAGATACGTAAATTCTGGTTAGCGATATCGATTTGAGATGGATCGCCCAAGGAAGAGCAGAGGGAATCGGCTATCGAAAGGCAAGTGCGACACCTCATACGAAACAAGGACCGATTGTACAATTAATATGGCGTGACGGTATAAGTATAAAACACCACACTCGCATACACGGACAGCTGCGATAGACTCCCCACACACGTGATCTGCCGTATGCCATGATCTAGTCATGCAATCACCAACAACATTGACAGCTGTACGACTCTACATACCTCTGGCCGACCGTGATGCTAATCATGATACCAAAAAGCGCGGGCAGCATAAACTGGGAGAGGGAATTACAATGATCAGCGTTAGCTGTACGACGAACTTTGGATGTGTCAGCTTCAGCAACCTGTCCCTACCCAATCCTTATCAGCGCGAGGCTCCGATAAACGAGCTGTCACATACCAAACAGAGTGTCGAATTTCGATACTTGTGCGGGGAAACCATGCCAATTGTCAGCTGTTGCCCAGGACACCAGTTCGAATGGCAGTGCTACGATATACAAGGGTACTCTACACACCTGTACGAGCTAACAAACAAACGGTACCTCGATACCATTGACGACTTCCAGCACGATGATTGCAGAGCTGAGCGATCGGGTGGCCCCTCCAGCTAAACATGCACCCCCGACAAGGGCGTAACCTCCACGCGCTATGCCACTATTGGGATACTATGATATGCAGGATACGGGGTTTAATTTAGTCGTTAGCTACATCGAAGAACAAAGCCCTCGCGCTATGCGTCTACAAGTGTACTGCTATCCACAAGCCCGTGGAATCATTTGCTGCGAATAGTATTCCGTTGATTTTGCGATGCCTGCAGGACTGACAGCACAACCCAAAATCTGCATTGCATGCCGATGGAAGTGGTAACAATATGTAGCGAACTTCACGAAGACATACCATATCATGCATGATTTATGTAGCGAACTTCACGAAGACTTACCATATCATGCATGATTTATGTAGCGAACTTCACAAAGGCATACCATATCATGCATGATATATGTAGCGAACTTCACGAAGACTTACCATATCATGCATGATTTATGTAGCGAGCTTCACGAAGACATACCATATCATGCATGATATATGTAGCGAACTTCACGAAGACATACCATATCATGCATGATTTATGCAGCGAACTTCACGAAGACTTACCATATCATGCATGATTTATGTAGCGAACTTCACAAAGGCATACCATATCATGCATGATTTATGTAGCGAACTTCACGAAGACTTACCATATCATGCATGATGTATGTAGCGAGCTTCACGAAGACATACCATATCATGCATGATATATGTAGCGAACTTCACGAAGACATACCATATCATGCATGATTTATGCAGCGAACTTCACGAAGACTTACCATGTCATGCATGGTATATGTAGCGAACTTCACGAAGACATACCATATCATGCATGCGTGATTTATGTAGTAAAGTTCACGAAGACATACCATATCATGCATGATTTATGTAGTAGACTTCATGAAGACTTACCATATCATGCATGATTTCCCCAAAGACGCGTCCCATCCCCGTTCCGATCGCGATCAGAGGCATGAATACTCCAGCGGGAATAGGGAGTGTTATAGTTACCACAACCAGCATCAGATTGACACATATATACAACACCAGATTCCCATAGATGGACCTGAGTAGAAGGAGAATACAGGCCATTCAATTAGCATGACAGAAGAGTTCATTTTCGATTCAGCGAGAGACACTGCCGTGCAAGGTAGAATAGATGTGTATACCCGCTTACGGCTCAATACGCTACGAACGTTTAGTGTCCCAATCCGGGTTGCACCTGGCAAGAAAGCTAGTTATACTGACACCACGAGTGTCAATGTCGAACTCATACTGGGAGATACACTATTTTGCACAATACCCTGTATTCATCCATCCATGCTTCACATCCAGATCGGTACTCACGGTTAGGTCCGAAATCGCTTCCGCTAGCGGCAGGCGCATGTATTCGCCCAGCCAGAAGCACAGCGGCAGAGATATCAGCCCGAAGAAGTATGGAAAGACATGGTATGTACTCATACCTAATTGCATTGTTGATATAAAGAAAACAAGGGGTTGGTTGATCACCAGCTTAACTAAGGGATCTTGAGCATAAAGTGAGATGAATAATTTGGAACCAGAATGCATACCAAAGAATTCTTTCCTCCTCCATTCCATCATCCTTTCATACACACGGACGAATAGACCCCCGAGAAGACCACCAACGATCCCCATGACAAAGAAGACGACCAATTCTAGGTTCTAAAGTGGCAAGAAGTTTCCGAAATTGAGCGAAAATAAAAAGTACAACATCCTTACATAGGTAGTGATCGGTAGTGGTCGATTTAACAATAGCAAGTGTGAAGTCAGATGCAAGTGCACCTCATGGAAACAAGGAAAACAAACAGACAGAACACCTGAAGCGCTCATTCTGTCAAGTGTAGCAGGCCTCCGAAGCTAGTTGGAAGTTGGATAAGTATATACAATACAAGGCCTGCTCAACATCATCTCGAAAACAGAGTAAGGAAGGAAGGGAAGGGTAGTATCAACAAGAGGTTATATTGGGTTGAGCATACCCGGAAGACCACGCGATCCGTCTGATCCAGAGGCTGTATGAAGGGGTTCGGCCTGAAGAAATGGGCACATACAGCGCCGCAGATTGCCGTGACGAATGCCTGCGACGGTACAGTAGAGAGAAAAGTTACTGAGAGCTCTTGTGAAGTACACAAGTACATATTGCTCGGCCGAGGTGTATACACTGAGTATTATAAATAATATAGATATTGCACTTGATCATACTAACCAACCTTCCAGTACGTGGACAGCATATAGTATTCCGTGGTGACTTCAATTGAGAACAGCACACCGCCTATCGGAGCAGTGAAGCAGGAGGCTATACCATTCGCGCAGGCACCTGATAAGATCTGATTGATGACTCGCTCATTCTCTACTAAATGACTGAACACTGGCAACCGCGTGAGCTGAGCGGCTGAAAATAGTGGTATTAATATGAAGATAGGACCCAGTTTAGTCACATGAGCGACATGATGTAAACACTCAGTACTAGCCACACAAGTGGAATCGAACCTAAAACAATCACCTTCGGATATACAGAAGTGAAGTTTGCCATCGATGTCAAGCTAAAACGGGCCAAAAGATAATCTCATTTCAAATTTCAAGTAGAACAGCTATCGAGCAATATCGAAAAGCCAGCTGACATTCGCGGCACACCATGTTCACAATAAACCAATACAACACACTGCACTCCACATTGAACATATTTCGCATTTGCCAACAGAGGGCAGCTTGCGGTCAATCCAATTGAAAAGTCTGTACTAAAGTCTTATTTCTGTGATTTTTTCTGTGGTTATTTCTGGGGCTGTTGAGCAGCAGAGCTGAGAAGCCCGGGGTGACAGTAATATTCGAACATATGTGATTTTACTTACTTATTGCTGTGTTGATGTGCGTCCAAGGCCCAGCTTTACCCACTTTCAAACCACTTGCTAGCAGTACTGTTAAGCCCACAATCTAAGATACGGTCGTAAGCAAAGTATTAGTGTTTTCAATTGGAGCCGGTGCCAATCGATCAATCGCTTGTACTTGCATATGAGTATGGAGAACTTCAGGCCAACACTATCAAGCCTAATCACGCGTATCAAGAATATATACCTTTGCAAACAGTGTTTTCCAGTGGAAGAAACCAGCCAGATGGACGCCTGATAGGTACACTTTCAATTCCTGAATCAAATAAAAACAATTGGATTTAGATTGTCACCACGGTTCCGAGCTCATATAAGGGCTCGGCAACTCCGTGTGCACATTATTTCTACCAGAATAACGCACGCCAATAGGGGTCTTATATAGTAATCAGTGAAACCAAGGGATTGAGCTTCTATGTCTTGCCAACCAGTACATACCGGAATACCAGAACCAGCACAAATCGGGCTGATCTTCGTCAGTTGAATTGCGATCACTAGCAGAAAAAAGGACCATGAAACCCACAGTATGCCCTGAAGAACGTTAGTTCGGAACATTACATTAGATGTGTTGTGGCTGACAGTGCGTACAAACGCAGGCACGTACTTACTCTACGCATATAAACTCGACCAAAGACGAAAAGCATCATATAGAAATACTCGTATCTAAGTCAGTAGATAGAACCCAACATACTGCTTGGTAAGAATCTTTCTCTGTGTCGCCCATTATATAGTCTCCAATTGACCGCAAATGTTTTAGTGTCCATTGATGTACTGGTGGTGAAAATTTAAGTCAGTTTGAGTATGTCGTAGATAGCATCAATTTTATTGAGGGATTGTCAAGGCTACTAGAATTGTTACAGACAAAAACTTCACTTATCATCCACAGGGTGAAATACTATAGGTACCTTGTTCCGCAAAGCAAGATAAAACCGCGCAGCACACAAGAAGAACTGTGGATGAAAGCTCCACATTCGCAATCCGGTGTACTATCCGCCTCCAACCCGTTTGCTTCTGATAGTGCTTTGACCTGAGAATTGAAATGGATGTGACCGATGCTATTCAATTCTGCTCTTGAGGATGTTAAGATGACTTCTCATACGCCATGCTCTCAAATGAGTGTTTGGCGTCAGTCCAATCAGACATCAAAAGCAAATGGACTGGTGACTTACTTTTCACTTGCACTTCTAGAGATGGACTCGTGACTTACTTTTTGTGGTCATTCAAGAGTGGACGTTTCTCGGCTCTCTCATCTGCAGACTGTGCACTGGCGGTCCACAACCAAAGAGAAGGAATGAGTACAATGCAGGTATCTTCGCATCTATAAAGCAAGAGCTTATTTGGAATTGTATTATAGGATCAGTACAGAACGAGACATGCATGCTGGAAGTCAAAGAAAACGCTACTCACACCACAGTAGAAGACGCCCAAACTTTTGATCTTGCACGCTTTCTTGTTCCACTTGTTTCCATCGCATCGGCTGCAGTCAGGCGCCGTATCGCAACGGAATTTCTTGGCCGAAACCGTCCCAGATTCTGTCAATTTGAAGCCACACGAGGTGTGAGCTATGTTTGTGTGAAGTACTGGAGCTGTAGTTCATAACCTATTCTTCAGAACATGGAGACGTAATTTTTCCTTAGTCTGAATGCAGGTATTGTCGCATGCTATCTTGTATAAATATATAAACCATAGCCTTCTCAATTACTCATATTTACTCAATTACTGTATATTTGAGAAGGCTATGTATAAGCTGCCTGAAGTGACAGCATGCATCCTAACCTCCGATGACGCACCCGGCCCCAATGTACAGTTCGGCAAATGCCGCAAAGCATGTTAGAATTGCATGAGTAACTGAGTCAAACAATGCGAACGCCTCATACATAAACAGTTGCTTGCAAAATATGAACACTCCGCTGGTACTCTAGCAATTGGAGAGAAATAGAAATCAAGAAAGATAGCTATACGATTGCAAAGGGATGCGGTGTGTCCGTTCTTATTGCCATCTTATTGTAGGCGAACACATTAGAATCGTCCACTCCTTGTGTTTGAAATGCCGGAGACGGCTTCTTCACCGACAGTCGCCAGTGCTCACCAATACAACCCATATGCCAGCAATTGTAACACATAGGAGCTCACTGAGCATTTTGGAAACTAGACTGGTGTCGAATTTTATACCTATGGACGCTATCGCCGCGATATAGTAGTCGTACATGCTCGAATCGTCCACTCCCTGTGTTCTGAATGCACCTTCAGCGGTCGCAGCGATCGAATACAACTCATATATCAACAAATATTAAGCATAGTGGTTCACTGAGTCATACTCAAATTAGGCTGATGCTCTAGAATTTGATAGACATGATTACGCAAGAGTGCTTGCAGAATAATTATACGATTACAGATAATTGCTGTGTATTTGGACCGTACCGCCGTCTCATTGTAGTCGTAAACACTGGACTCGTCCACTCCCTGTGTTTGAAAGGCTATTGACGGTTTCCTCAGCGACCGCAACTGATTAACATTAAACAGTCCATCATCCGGTTCGTTAACCCATTCTTCTCCTTCGTAGAGAGTGAGAGCCAACACAGAAGGCGCCCTATTCCGGTTTGGTGCTGACATTTTATACCTCACTACCTCACTGATGCCCTCTACTCATGCATCTATTCATTTGTTTGTCTGTATAACGTGGAATATTCACTCCACAAACACGTCTATTATTTGTATATATGAAAATGTATAAATGTTTCTATTATTTGTATATATGTGTATGTATAAATGTGAATTGGCGACGATAGCAGTGATGGCAGAGGTGAAGTTGAGTTGCCGCTGATCAGTACATAAACTATGTGATTTATATAATGCACACGTCTTGAAGTATCTGATTATATTGTAGTGTTCACGACTTCACGGCTTAAATTGGGGCATTTGGGTTTAGGGTTGGACTGGCTCTTATAATCTTTTATCTTTGATACATAGATATTTAGGGTTTGGACTTTGGAGTTTGGACTTCAAAAACCAAAACCAAACCAAGGCCCAATCACATCAAACGCTCTCTCTACTAGAGTAGGCATGTTGACTATCATTAAAACAATCTCAAAGCATCTACACAGTCTGAACTCCTCTCTCCCTCTCGCGCGTGTTGTGTTGTTAAGACGTAAGACACAACACACGGATTCTGCAGACCGTCTGCTAAGGCTCCGTTTGAAAAGTATGATAGTGTTCTTGTCGGCGAGGGATTGATCATTTTCACAAATTAGTTTTTCTTGTGGTGAAGACTTCTTAGTTTTGAAAACCATACGAATAGTGTAAGCTCAAGTCATAAGGCAAAGGTACAGCTAATCGGTTCGAAGGATTTGTGTTACAAGAAACAGCTTAGCCACAGAAGAGTAGCGAATTAGTCACCGAAGGTAGCGACAAGGTCGATTGAGCCTGAAACTTTGGCACACATGTCCAATAAGCTCAGTATTATGAAAGTTTAGTATGTTGATTTGTACTGATGCGATTCATGTCTTTGTATATGATTGTGGCTGGTTAAGGCATCTGAAACTCGGTATCCTGAAGCCTCGAGGTCCAAGAAGCTCCCCCGTAGAACTAAGATATCAAAACCCGCAGTGTCCGCAGGCTGTATATTAAACACGGCAGGTAAGCTGCCTCAGCAGGAAACTATACAAGATCAGACTAACGTCGAGGAGCTGCAATACCCGTTGACATATGGGCTGCCTAAAATGCTAATCGAAGTGGACGTGCTGCGATGCGTTTCTTTTTGTATATGTACGAGTTAAGATACTATGGTAATCGCAAAATACCAGCATCCGTTAATGGTGTGAAATATGAATTCCGCACAGAAACTGAGTTAATTTGAATAAGAGGTCATATTAAGTCATTGAGCGCCAAAGCCGATGAACGTGAAAGTGCTCGATAAGAGTGGGGGGTCTGACTACCTCTAATACAATAGTCAATTAACAAACTCGAGTGCCGTCTCTAGAGAGGTACTCAATTAGAAAAAAAACCTATGCCACTCATTCAGAACTCTAGTGGCATCTATTTTTCAAATATGACAGTCTGTATTTATCCTCTCCTTACACAGGCAGCTGCACTTCCTTAAAGGGCTGTGCTGTACCAGATGGCCAGCAGTAGTGATACTCAAATGTCTAAGTGCTAGTGACAACATACCGTACATCTGGAATGAGACAATCATCAAACGACATTCGTCGATAAGCTCTAAATACAATTGTCACTAGTCACTCAGGGTGATTGCAGGCGCTGGGAATGGCAACAACGGACATGTAATGGTATTCACTCCCAGAGAACTGTGTTCAAAGGTTTTGGCCGACGTCATGTACATTACCACACATAATAGGGTACTAAACAACAAGGTATTGAGATATGTCATTAGGACCATCATCGATTATTGCTGGGAATTTCAAACCAACTCAACGGAATAATTTGTATCATTGCATGTTGTGGAGGCAATGCTACGTGTCACATATTTTATGGAAAAGAACAGACCACATCTCAAGCATGAGTATAGGACAGAAATGGCGCATGTCTTGGAATAAGACGCCATCAGATCTGCTTGCTGTCATTTTATCGGCGTTAATGATAGCTATCCGTGTCTGTAGCAATGAACAAAATGAAAATGCATGAGAAAAACAAGTGTTTCGACAAAGTTAAGTTCCGAGCACGTGACATGACGGCAGGTTCGAGCCAAAGCAAACAGCTGGTGATCTTGAATGCTCCATACCTTCGTACTTCCATAGTTGAGTTTGTTCAGGGTCTTGATGGCCTAAAACATGAAGGAGATACGAATGATTGCGCTTGAGAAGATCTGATCAACAACAGAAAGCTGATTTCCGAACAAACGAATGACATTTCAATAATAAAACACAATCGATTGCAGAGTGAAGGATGTCTCTTCCCAATGGCAATGGCTCACCTTGATAGCAATGTTGTTGAACTCTTCCACACGAACAGTAGTGAACTTCCAGTGCTTATCTATTGGACCGCCTGGTATCATGTGCGGGTGTATCGAGGTTGTCATTCTGAAGATCAGATGCTTAAAGTTGGCCTGCGGCGGAGGTGAGGTGTAGTTAGTGAACAGACACAGATTGAATTTGCTGACTACAACACTTCAAGTCAGCGGCAACAGATGTTTCCTCTAGCACAGTACAAAGAGTTATATTTGCAGCCGACGCGCAAGGTAGCCGCACTAGTTGTAGCAACACACCGCAATCATAGCCTCGAGCACAACCGGCAGATAACTAGCGTACTCCTCTGCAGTTGAAAAGGCAACATCATGTAATCCGGCATTGAAGACTACAACGTCTCGGTCTGTCCGCCAGCGTTTCTGTAAACAAATGTATTCACTCATTTTTAAAAAAAAAAGGTCGATTGGTACATGGCGGTGTCTGTATACTCGAATCGCCTGTTAGAAACAACTAAATGCCATGGTTTTGGGTACCGACGACTGCTCAAAAAAGTGCTAGTACATATGTACATAGATGGAGGGGTTGTATTGCCTCAGTGCAGAACCAAATACAGCTGTGGAGAAACTCCAACCTTAGAATATTCCAAATTGATAGTCCACAATGAGAGCAAGTGAAATGTTCTTTCATCAGTACCATGAGTGTGCGAAGACACTATTTGAAGAAACGAGACTTGAGTTTAAACGCTTGTGTTGTTGAGACATAGACATAAACATCGATACTTAAGTCTGAACGTGCAGGTAGTAAAATTGGTGCACCTACGCTCACGCCGTCAAAATCTTTCAAAACCCAATCTATGAATTGTACATTAACCACCAAAAACAGTAAGTGAGTGACACACCCAGCAGAATTCAATATCACGCCTAAGCTTCAAATGTAAAGACAAGGCACTCGACGAGCTATTCTTCATATATCGTAGTATACAAACGGACAACATTTTCCAAAGCTATATTCAGGTGCTTAGATAAACTTGATTAGCAAGTCAGAATGAGTGATATATAGACACATGTAAATGTCACACAGGTTCGATTGCTATTCCAAATAGTTTACGTTGTCTCCTCGCACACAGATATATGTTGAGGCACCGCAATAAAGGGTACACAAGCGCAGAGGATTTGTTTGTAATTCATTTGAGCCAAGGAATATTTTGGCCGACTGAAAGCACAAAACTTACGTCGCCTATCAGAGCCAGAAGCGCCGTCCTTGATGTTTCATTGAACAGTTTTGGAAACTCCATCTTGCGTGGGTTACTAGACAGGGGAATCGGTAGGTAAAGGACAAATAATAAACACACGGACCTGCTTCTCGCGAATAAGGACCGATAAAGCGACCAGAAAATGACGAACCCATAGCGAAGTAAACTGAAGCCATACCTGTAACCCTCCCATGGGTAGAGTGACGTCTCATTGGCCTGGAGGGAGCGTACCGTCGATGGGAATGCGTGACCCAATGACGATACCATCTGGCGTGTCACGGAATCTCCGAACTGATACAGCAAGGGGTGTGATTTAATTGTGTTGAATAAATGACAGTATTGCCAGTACCACTACCAACTGGAGACACGAGCAGAAATCAATGACCGAAAGGGATGGCAATGCGCACAAACGAGACGAAACATGCTTACCATATGTATATTCCACCTGGATAAGCAGGCTGTGACCAGACTTGAGCTCAGAGTTGGATAGTCACACTCTGCATTGTGCCAAAGAGGCCTGCATGGCCGGTCGTAGGTCTCACACTCCTTCATATTAAACTGGAACGCAGATAAATATACGTAAAATATACAGTGTTATCGGATGTAAATTAATATTAGCAACTAACACACAGATCAAAGTGATCCAATTCGATGGCTTTATAAACTGGTATCAAAGATTCAAACATAACACCCGAATAGCATATAAAAACAGAAAGTATCAAGTACATTCAGATGAGATAAATCTTATTAATTGGAAACACACACAGATGAAGAATAGCCTCTCCGGTATGCATGTACACTGTAATCAAGGAGACAAACAAACAGCATCACCTGCAAGGCGATTTTAGATAAAATACAGCTCAATCAAATAGATAGAGTCTTATTGATTCATCATACACAAACAAGACTATCCTCTTCGGTAAACATATAAACTGGTATCGTAGATAAAAACATCGCACCTGAAAATATCTAGGCAGTATACAATACATACACATGGGAGATCTTAGCATTCATACACACAGATACACTGATCAACGTTAAACGCTTCAATATCTATGATATAAACTGGTATTGAAGGATTCCAGGATCACACCATACCTGCTTATCGTATGAAAACACAGTGCGACCGACGCACTGACTGCCGCCGTTCGGTTGGATAACCCAGTGCCCTGTTGTGTCATCCGTGTTGTTTCTCAGACATTCAGTTGTCAGTACATTCTCCTGGTGGCTTACATTTGCTGCTAAGACCATCACCTCCAGTATTTTATTACTCGGTAACAACCCCAAATACTTCGAATTTGCATCGCCGCCATGTGCACTGGTCTGTCTAAGGTCACTAGGATTCAGTGCTGCTGTTCTGTTACTGTAGAGAAGTCGCGGCATGATATCATGCATCCCATACGTTCTAGGTGTAAACTCTATTTTATAGTTCCCAACACCATTGCTGTCCGCTATATATTGAAAATGCCCATTAAAAGCAGTTGAATTGGAGAGTACCAGCGTACTAAACACCAGCTCAGACCAGTCCACCGAGGCAACAGTGGAATTATCAAGGAACCTTAATCCTACTTCATACTCACAGCGTATATTCACATAACATAATACACCTGTGTCATTCTTAACCGGCACCAACACATAATCGAATGCTTTCTCCACTCCTTCCACCGATAGATCGGCATTGAACGACGAGTTGATTGAACCCAAAGACATATACAGGTGATAAGAGCTTACGACGAATATCGCAATCAGGCCAAGCAACTTGCACGTCGACACCCTCGACCCCATGCCCATGGGGGACTTATGCACACATTAACGATTATATATATATATAACATATATACATATATGTATACGTCTCTATACTAGCTAGCTATACATATATGTTTCTAGACTTTATTAAATGTTTAGTGTTCATTTACATACACGCGATACAAGAGAATCAGCTACAGCTACAAACCGATTGGCCGCGAGACTGTTAATCAAACCGAGATCGGCCTGGGATGGATGTCGGCATTTTAAGCTGAAAATTTCAACGTTTTTTTTTGAACACAATAAATAGAGAACAATACTGAACGGACGAATACAGTCACCATGGGATCCTCTAAAAGCAAGCCGGCGGCTCCTAAAGCACCACCTCCTGTAAAGAAGAAGCAAATTAGTCAGCACGAGAGAGCGGTACTCGATCTGAAAACCCAGAGAGATCGCCTACACAAGTACACCAAGCAAGTAAGCCTGCCTGCGCATAATGCTTTTATGTTACGTCGTTCACTTTCTACGAGACACGATTTTATCGGGTTGTAGCTCAATCTAGCGCTTCAGTAGGCTTATATATATATATATATATATATATATATATATATAGTATACACAACACACACACACACACACATACACACACACACACACACACACACACATATATATATATATATATATATATATATATATATATATAGTATA